ATGGGTCTCGCAGTCCATGCTGCCTTCCATTCCCGTCCTCTCCTGCTGACAGCTAGCGCCATGCCTTCCCTGCCTTCTCTGCCCCACTGGGAGCCCGTGGGTGCTTTCAGCGGGTGCCCCTCCCCCCCGACCCGGTTTTGACTGCCCGCTGGGCTCGTGGTGTGAACAGTGGCTCCCAATTTAGCTGTCCCTGCCAGGTGGGTGGCTCTAGAAGGATCCGCACTCCCTGCAGGGGCGGGGGAGGGGCGTGAAGCCACAGCCGATGCCTTGGGCACAGCCCAGGGACCCCCGCCTTCCGGAGCTCTGCCCCTGCACCAGATTTGGGCCTTCAGGAACCAGAAGCCTCCTACTCCTCCCCAGCCCCACCCAGACGGCCTCCCCAGGGAGAGGCCACCAACTCGGTTGTGCCCATTGAGAGAAGACCCTGAGCCCACCTGTTGGCGAACACAAGTGGCCCCAGCTCATCTCAAGGTCCAGGAGCCCTGGGGCCTTACCCCTTCCTCTGGGCAGCAGGAGGAGTGGTGGACCAGGGGTCCAGGTGCCAGCCCTGGCTGCCCCACTTGGTTGAGTCTCCTTTCATCTCCTTTCAGCCTCCCATCCTGGAGATGGGCCACCAGGGATCCAGTCCAGGGGTGGGGGAGACAGAGGTAAGGGCCATCGCTGTGCAATGCACACGCCCCATTGATGGTCCCCAGCACCCTCTGAGAAGTGGGAGGTGCACAGGGCCCATCGGGGGCGTGCCCAGTGCTGCACAATCCAGGATGCCATTCTGTGGAAGGAGGCCCTTGCCAGTGCAGAGGTCAGAGGCATTTGGAGATGGGCAGGCACAGTGGGATTCTTGGGGCCACTGCCAGGGTTTGGGCTGTCGGTCCCTTCATTGCGCCAGCCCCCCTTGCTGCTGCCTGTGGCTTTGATGAATAAGAGATGAGGAAGCAGATTAATTATGGCTTAATATGCACCAAAGTTGGGCAGAGGGACTCCTAGGGATGGGAGTCCTCGGGGTGCAGAGCTGATGGGGGAAGGCCAGGACACCCTCTGCAGCCCCAGGGGTGGGGGATGGTGAGATGCTTCTGGAGGAAGCAGAGGCTGTGGACAAAGAGAGGGCTGAGAGGGGCTGCCAATATGTGGGTCCCCCTAAGCTCCCCAGACCTTCTCCCGTCTGGAAAATGGGTGGTGGTAGTAATGTCTACACTGCAGGACTGAATGGGATGACTCACTCAGCAGGCCTGGCACAGAGTCCTCTCAGGCCTTGGGCATGCAGCCGCCCTCCGTGGTGAGAGCAGATGGCAGGCCGGCGCCCCCCAGCTCCCTGGCACCGGGACCACATCCCCAGCCGCCCACTCAGAGTGCAGGGAAGGGTCGGTCACATTGGCATGCTTGGGGGGCAGGCATGTGCTTGCTGCATGACCTTCGAGCTTTCTTCCTGGTCTGTCTCTCCTTGTGCTGGCCCGGAGTGGCCCAGCATGTGTGGGGCAAAGACCCAGCTTCCTTGCTGCCCATTCCTCCCCAGGAGGCACCAAGGCCCTGGATGTTCATGGGCACCACACAGGCATGCCAAGCAAAGCCATGGCACGCCTGTCTCTCCAGGCGGGAGATGAGCCTTCCCAAGCCCTGGGAAGCAGTGACCTTCCAAGGAGGCTGAACGGTGTCCCTGTCGGCCCAGGACCGGCCACCTCAAAAGGTCCCCTCACCTCGAGCTGCCTTCTATGGGCAGGTCTGGAGTTTTGAGTGAAAACCCTACATGATCCTCTCAGGGGACAGGAGTGGTGAACAAAGGAGGGATGGTGACCAGCTGACTATGCCCAGAGGCGTTAACATCTGCCTTAGGCATTAGCACATGCTGTGTCAAGCTCAGAGAGGCCAAGGGGGTGGACCAAGGTCACACATCGGGCAGGGCCCTTATGACTGGCACACTGGTCATTGAGGCTGGGCCCAGGTTAGGGGTGGGAGTAGGACCAGGGGGTAAGGCAGTCCCTGGCCTCACTGGAGGGGGTGGGTGGGCTGGGCAAGCTAGCAAAGGACGTGCCCTACACGGCGGGTGTGGGGTGGGGAAGGATTCAGACAGATGCCTGTGTGGCCCTGCTGGCCCAGCCCAGGCAGGGTGTGACAGGTCTGCCCGGCCCTGAGGGCACAGCTGTCTGCAGCCTCCAGCTCACTCCTGATCCCCAGGGCCACATGTCCAGAAATCCTGGGAGCTCAGATCAGCTGGACACAGATGGCCTGTCCTCCCAGCACCCCTGCTGGGCCTTCCTAGGAACTGGTTGGTGTAGACTCTGGGCAGCAGACAGCCAGGCTCTGCCCACAGGGTCCCTGGCTCCTCCCACAAGGCCACTCCATAGAACTGGCTGTGCCCCTTGGCCAGGGCTTCAGCCCCTGTCAAGCCCTCCCCACTGGCCCCTCACCAGCCATCAGCTGCCCTCCCTCCCTTGCCCGTTGGGCCCTGAGGGGCGATGGCTCCACGGTCGCCTGCCCAGAGAGTGTACCACTCCCCATGCTGCCCCACATGTGGCTACAGCCTGAAAAATGTGCCTTACCAAACCCTCCCCCGTGCCCAGCCTGAGAAGCGAGCCGTGCCTTGCTGGCAGCAGACAGACCAGCTGCCTAGCCCTGCGCAACTCTGCCTCTGCATCCCCATAACTCCCTATCAGTGTTGGCCTGCACCTAGCCATCCCAGCCCAGCACCCAGGAGTGGGCTGAGCTTCCAGAGGGGAGGACGCTGGCCAAGGTGCTGACCGAGGTGTTGGACACAAGAAACCAGCCCTCCCCTCAGCCCTGCTCCCATGGCACAGACCTGTGAGGAGGTAGAGGCCCAAGTCCCAGCCCAGAGTGACCGGGAACAGCTGAGCTTGGTGACTGGAGAGGGTTCTGGGGCCAGAAGCCTCCAAGGCAGCCCTGGCTCCCCATTGCCTCCCATGCCCATCCCATGCCCCAGAACGGTCACTTCAGCTGCTGCAAAAGGGGTAGGAGGGGCTTTAAACCTATGAGAGATGGGTGTGGCCACAATCTTCAGCTGTGGTGGGCCACTCTGGGTCACTGACAATTGAAGTGATGCCTGCGCAGTGAGCACAGAAGTGTCTTCTCAAGGCCTCTCTGCAAGCACAGAGCAGCCTCCAAGTGGAGCCTGGTCCACTCCAGCGCTGTCCTCAGACTGATGGCCTGTGCCACATGACTCGTCTGCGGGTCTGATACATCCCTGTAGTGAGAGCTCAGTTCCTATTCTGGGGGCTTATGTGTGCAGGGACCTTAGAGGAAGAATGCTTGTTTGGGGGTCAGGTCTCAGCCTCCCACTGGCTCTGTGAGCTTCGCCTGCGGTTCCCCATCTGTGCAATGGTGACGACGTCTTGATGTGTTTGTGGGAGGACCTGCTGAGCCCCTGCAGGGGCTGAGCTGGTCTCACTCGCAGCTAGCACCCCAGGAGAGGTGGCAGTGTGTGCACAGCCCATCCCTTCAGGAGGCCAAGGGGCAGAGTGGCTGGGGTTGTCTGGGCCCCATCTCACCTTCTGTGTGGCTGGGAATGGCATGCACTCCACAATGCCCTAGAAAGCCTAGGCTGGGACAAGGGTGACAAGGATAAAGCAGGCCAAGGTGTGATGAGGGCCACAGAGAGGCAGCCAGGGGCGTGTGGGCAGTGCAGCCTCCACACCGGGCAGAGTGCCGCCAGCATGGCTCCGCCCTGAGAAGCTTCCTGCCACTGGGCTCAGATGGGAGCACTGGGACTCAGATGGGAGCACTGGAGCTCTGTCCTCACTTCCTCTGGACAAGGCAGGCAGGCCAGCAGCCCTGGGCCCTGCTCATCTCCCTCAGGGCCACCTCCACGGCCAGGGGCAGGCACAGAGCACAGGGCTGCCAGTCACCAGGGCTCGCTGCTTCATACCCATGGACCTGGGCTCTGATGGGAGTCATCAAGGCCTCACGCTGGCCCACTCTGTCCTTGAGTCAGGGTCCTACAGACTGACGCCAGGTTGGCCTGCAAGACCCTCATCTGCATGTTCCTCTCATGCAGGGTAGGCTTGGGGAGGACTCGGCCGTGCTGAGCTGACTCCCGGTGTTCCTCCAGGTGCAGGGGCAGTCTGACAGTTGTCTGAAGACCTCGGGATGCACTTAGGATCTCATCAGTGAGGCCCGGTGGGTGCCCTGAGCAGGAGACAGAGAAGGAACACCTGCACCCCTGTGTGTGCAGGGGGGTCACTGGGTTCTCTGGTCCCATGGCCACCCGGCAGGGGCTGGCTTGGTCGGAGTCGGGGAGAATACTAAGCAGGTGGCCTCAGAGAGCGTCTTCTGGGTTTGGAGCCCCCATACCGCAGGTAGGAAGAGGTGGGGGACCCCTGCAGGGTTACGGGTAACATCAGGCTTGAGTCCCCTCCCTGGGATGGTGCAGAGAGGGCCATGAAGGCCAAGGAGGGCCCCTAGTACTCTCTTAAGCCTTGAGCCTGTTTCTCACTGAAAAACCGGGGCGGTCGTGCCCCAGCAAGGAGCTTCCGTGCAGGGGGCGGGGGACTCATGGGTTTCGTGAGGCCAAGAAGGGACTGGATCAGGCAGAGGCCATCGCCAGGCCTCGGGACAAAGCCCTTGCCTGCTTGGGAACCGAGCCAACCTAGGCCGCCACACCCTCGGGCCCGCGCCCCCGGCCCGCTCCGGTCCGGGCCGCCAAACCCTCGGCCGCCTGCAGGGGCCGCCGCCTCTTCAGGAATGCGCCGCCTTTGTCTGGGACCGCGCGGCGCCGGAGCACCGAGCGGGCTGAGCGCCTCCTGCGGCCCGGCCTGCGCGCCCCGGCTGCCGCGCCGCCCACGCCCCCACCCCGACCCGCGCCCCGCAGCCCCAGCCCCGGCCCGCGCCCGCGCCCAGGTGAGCGCCCCGCCCGCCGCCAGGCCCCGCCCCGGCCCGCCCCCGCCCCGCCCCGGCCGGCTGAGGGACCGGGCGGATTCCTCGCGCGTCAAACCACCTGATCCCATAAAACATTCATCCTCCCGGCCCGCGCCGCGAGCGCCCCGCCAGTCCGCGCCGCCGCCGCCCTCGCCCTGCGCGCCCTGCGCGCCGGTGGCCGGAGCCCAGCCCTAGCCGGGCGGAGCGGAGCGCGCCGAGCCTCGTCCCGCGGCCGGGCCGGGGCCGGGCCAAAGCGGCGGCGCCTGGATGCGGACCCGGCCGCGGGGAGACGGGCGCCCGCCCCGAAGCGACTTTCGGTCCCCGACGCGCCCCGCCCGACCCCTACGATGAAGAGGGCGTCCACTGGAGGTGAGTGTCCGCGCGGCGCCCGGGCCCGGCCGGCGGGGGAAGCGGAAGGGGGCGGCTCACCCCCACTCCGGAGCTGCAGGGCCCGTCCCGGGCTGCCGAGGCAGGGGAAGCGTCGCCGGGCGGCGGGGAGAGCCAACCGCAGTACGGCGCCAGGCTGGGGCTGCGGGCGCCCTGGCCCCGGAAGGGCGGAGCCGGAGGCAGCAGGAAAAGTTGCTGCTTCCCGGGAAAGTTGACGGCGACGGCAGGGCCGGAGGTGGCGGTCCGGGGGTCCCCGACGCTGGGCCAGGTCCCGGGTGGGGGCCGCGGGCTGGAAGGGCGGGGTCCAGCCTCGGAGTGCCCCGGCCATGAAGGGGTTAACGATCGGGTTTTTGCAGAAACGTGGGTACCGAGGGTGGGTGGGGGTGTCGGGCCGCCTCCGCCCCTGCCCCTCGGACTGGGGTCAGAACCTCCCGTGTCTCCGAGGTCAGGCCGCAGTGGGATGAATGGGGGCGTTGGCGGCAGTAGAGGGCGTGGGGGACAGGGTTGTCCCAGCGCTTCCACCAGGGCGGGCGGTGAGAGGAGGCAGCTATGCCCGCCATCCGCAGCCCGAGGGACATTGAGAGGCTTGGCTGGTGAGTCCGGGGCGCTGGGGCAATCAGCAACCCCGCCCTGGCAGTCCTTGTGGGACTCCTCCCCCACCACCGAGTGTGAGGTCCCTCAGTGGGGGCAAGGGAGGGTGGGCTCCATGTGAGTTGGGCATGCCCTGCCTGGAGGGTGCTCCCCAGGTGCCCACCCGGGCCGCCCTGCTGATGTCCATGGTGCCGCAGGCTGCACACACGTTTCCTTGCACGTGCACGTGTCTACACGGACTGCACACTTGCACACCGCTGGTGCACATGCATGCCAACGCCGCTCCAGTGTGCACATGCATGAACACTGGGTGCACACACGGACTCTGAGGGTGCATGTCTGTGTCCTCGCCCTCGCCTGCACGCCCACGGCCACACATGCATGCATGCAGCATCCCTGCTGTGGTCTCCACGGGTGGCACATGCTACGGCTCCTTTCGAAAGACCCACTCCCGCACCCACATGCCCATGTGTTGAGTGGGGAGGCCGGGCCCACCTGCCTGCCGCTGTGTCCTGGGGTTCTCCCCCTCGGCGTCTGTGTGTGCATGTGTGTAACTTGGTATGCGTCTGCACGTGTGTCTGTGCGCGTGATCATGTGTGCCTGGGGCACATAAGCATATGTCTCTTTGCCTCCAGGGTGTAGGTACCCCTTGTGTGCCTAGGTGGGTTGTGGCTTAATCGGGAGCAGAGGCCCTGGAACTTGTGTTGGGGGCTCGATGGATGCCCGCAGCCCAGGGTGTGAGGGGCAGGGTCTCCCAGCCATTCCCCACCCACCAGGGCTGAGGCAGTGGTAGGCAGCGGAGGGCTGGAAACTGCCTGGGCAGGGAAGACCCATTTCAAGCCATGAGACCAGACCCTGGGCACACTTGGTGGCCACTGCAGCTTGGCTGACTGGAGCACATGACACAGTGTGACTGCAGAGAAGCCCTGCCTCCAGTGCCTCAGTTTATCCATGGTGAGGACCTTCTTGGTGAGGGGTTCTGTGGTGGGCTCCCCTGCCTCAGGTGTTGTGTACGGTGCTAAGCAGGTGGACGCCGTGCAGCATGATGAGCAAGGGTGGCCCACTAGCACTGTGGCAGGGGCCCTGGGCTGGGGCTCAGAGTGGCCGGCCACACCTCCTGCTCCCCTGGCCACTACCAGTGGCTCATCTGTAGAGCGGGGACCAGCAGGTCATCCTTGTAGGCTGTGTGAGGGTGAAACATACCAGCAGAGGGGTGGCTGGAGCAGTGGGGCTGGACAGTCTCTTCTTCTAAGCCTCAGTCTTCCCATCTGTAAAGCGGGTACTGTTCCCCATTCTACTCCATTGAGACAAGGAGGAAGCGAGCTCCATGCCCGGGGTGGGAATGGGTGGCCATCAGCACCTCGACCCCACCTGGCAGAGGGGCACGTGCAGGGCCTGCCATGGCAGAACTGTGGCCTGGATTTGGGTCCTGGCTCAGCCACCTGCTGGTGGTGTGACCTCTGCCTCAGTCATCCTCACCTGCCACATGGGTCCATGTCAGGGATTATCAGAGCACTTCCAGGCTGAGGCCGGGTGGAGCTGGCCCAACTTACCCATGGAGTTCTGACTCCCGTGCTTCTGCCCTCAGAATACCCAGAATACCTCCCCACAATCCCTTGCAGCAGAGTCCTCCTGGGACCTTTGCACTGCCAGCTGGGCCCCTCACCCCATCCATTTGCAGAAGGGACAACAAAAGCCCCTAGTCAGACAACTCAGGCCACAGGTGGGTGGAGGGGGGACAGGGTAAGGATGCTGCCCCGCTTGGGTGACACCTCCGCAGTCTTTTCACTCCCTCCCTGCCCTCCCCCTGTTCCTCACCTGGGGGAGCTATGGAACCCCTGAACCTCAGTTTCCCTGTTCCAGGGTCCTTCCACTGGGACTGGCAGAAACATAGGTTTGCATGGAGTAAGAAGCAGGGGAGAGGCTGAGGGAGGGCAGCCTGGCCCAGCGGGTCTCTGAAAGCCAGAGGATTTGTGGAGGGTCTATGGAGGACACTGCCACAGGGGCTGGGGCCCTTGAAGGTGGAGGTAGGTCCTGCTGTCCTCGGAGGCTGGGGACTGGTCCACAGCACATGAAGGGTCTGGGATTTGTTTGCTGTTGCTGTGAGTGACAGGCAGGCTGAGAAGGCGAGGGCGTGTGGGATGGTGCCCACCCCCTCCCTCTGCCCAGGGACAGTGCAGCTGCCTGGCACTGCCCCTCCTTGTCTCTGCCCCGGCCTTGAATTCATGCTTTGTGGCACAGACGGCCATGTGCAGCCGGTGCAGCACCAGGAGGGTCCAGCTGGTGAGGCCAGGACGGGCGGGAGGCAGAGGAGCCCTCCTGCTGTCCTGGGCCTGTGGCCCGGAACCTCTCCCTGGGAGCCTCAGTCTGTGCACCTGGGAAAGGGGTCAAGAGCAGGAAGCACAGGGGGAGTTCCAGGATGACCTGGAAATGAGCAAATGTGTGTGTGAGCCAGGAGCCCCGCCCGGCCCTGGCACAGGGTTAGTGAGGGCTCCTGACACTTGGTTACTGTCTGATCAATGAGGTTCATGCTATCCTGCCCCCATTCTGGTGAGCCCTGACCTCTGACCCCCACGCTGGCCTGCCTGACCCTCTGCAGCCACCCAGGGCATGGGCCTCGGGGTTCACAGGAGCTGACCTGGCTGCCCCTGCTTCTGCAGCTATGCAGATGCCTTCTCAAAGCCCTCTCTGTACCCCTCAGTGGCCCTGCTCTGCCGCCTGGCTGCACCCAGGCCAAGGTCACAGGCACCCTCCTCAAAGCCAAATCCCAGATGATGCATTTGCCCCAGCCATCCATTCCCTTTCTCATTTGTTCATTTATTCGTTCCTGGCCTGTCAGATTCCCGTCTGAGCCAGGCAAATCAAGGGGTATGGTCCTTGGCATCACGTATCTCTAGGATTAAATGCCTTAAAGGAGAGGAGGTCACAGAGTGGCACCGGGAAGCCCAACCGGAGTGGTGGCCATGCTGTCCCACCCCGCAAATCTCCCTGCACTGTCCCTGGGGCCCAGCTGGGTCCCCCCACACCAGGTGTTCTGTGCTGCCGTTTCTTCTTTTATCACWGTATTTTAAACATGTTGCACATCGGGAACTATTCTTGTGCATCATGGGTTTACTGGTGTGTGTGGAATCCCTTCCTGAGAATGCACCATCTTTTATTTATACAARCCTGCACTGGCCTTCTGCACTGCCTGCAGCCACGGAGCTGGGCACCCAGAGATGCCCTTCTGCACAGCCCTCCCCACCAGGTCCGGGGCTTTTCACATACCCCTCCCCTGATGCTTGGGCTGATTTCAGGGGGCTCAGCAGCAGGGCCAGATCCCCCTGCTCCTAGCCCACTGAGGCCTTTGACAACCTTGGGCCAGCCGGGTGGGTGATGGGAGTGAATAGAGCCTGTATCCAGCCGTCAGCTCTCTGGATGGTCATTTGTGCAGTGGTGCCTTGGGGCGGCCTCTCCCCGGCTCTTTCACACAGCCTCTGGTCTTGCCCACTACTGCCTGTGGGGCCTTTTCTTTGGAGCAGCGGGGCATGGAGTGATGCTGGGAGCATCCCGCAGCTGTGTCCTGTCTGATGGAGGCGGCCCATGGCAGCCAGACCCAGGAGGTGGAATAGAAAGGCAGGGATGTTGGCACATCTCAAGAGTGGCTTTAGGAGGGGCTGAGTGGGCACAGGCCAGGGTCCCTATGTAGGTCCACACAGGCCTGGAAGGCGGTCAGCCCCATTCAGGGCTCTGGTACATGGAGCCGGGCTGATCTGGTAGTGGGTGTCAGGTGCCAGCCTCACTCAGAGCAGCCTGCCCTGGGCCCCCAGGTGCCTCCTGGCTCTCCTGGCACCCTGGCATTCTTAGCTGTCTGTCACGGGTCACGGTCCATGGAGTTGTAGTTCTTTGGAATGTTGGTGGTTTCACATAAAGGCTTTGTGCTCAAATGTGGGACCTGCTGGATTAAATGCTGCTGATGGCGCTCCTTTCCCACAGGGCGTCTTGGGCCCTGTTTGTGGGGGCAGCGCCTTCTCTGAGAGGCACCCCTATGCGATGCACCTCAGGGCCTGGCGTGCCCAGGAACCCGTTTTGGGAAACAGTGTTTAAGGTACCTCGGAGGACCAGAGGAGGAGATCTGCGGGCCCCCAACGAGGGCCCCGGGATGGGCCCTGCCGCACAACACCCACACCCACGGGGCACCCAGTGGGTGGAGGGACCACTGCTTCTCCCAGCAGTTTGAGGCGATGTGCAAATTTAACCTTTGGATTTATGACTCTATTTCTTTGCAGCAAATGTCACGGGAAATGTCAGGCCGAGGCTGAGGCTGGGTGAGCGGCCCGTCGAGGAAAGGGGTAGAGCTAGGCAGGCTGGAGTGTCGAGGAGGGGCTCAGGCCAGGGAGGGGTCCAGGCCC